TTAGTGGAAAATTTAATGATACTTGCAAGTTGCAAATATTGCCAAGATAATCTCCACTTACATGCATTAGACGCTTCAAGAAGATGTACCACTTTTATTTTATATCAAACGTGTAATGTTTGTGACACATATACACACATATAGTCATATTTTTTCATCAGTTGCAGTGATGGTCATGGTTTTTATTTCACGTCGACAATAGCGAAAGGTAGAGGTGGATACCTGGGTTGTTAATTCGCGCATTCTTATCGATTCACCCGCAAATAACCCGACCCCCAAGCTGTGGGTGATTGATGTGGGTGGATGACGGAATTTTAAATCTCCCACTCCCACCTGCACTTATGTGGGTGGGTGGGTTGGTGGTGGGTGGATTGCGGGTCACCCGAATTATCCGCATCTTATTTTTTCACATGAAAATATTATTTTGACTACTATTATTGGTGATTGGGTTGTGTAATATCCATTAGATATTATATATTGGATATTGGAATGTAAATTATTGTTAATATCTATTAAATATTGGACAAACTTTTAATTATTAATTTTGTCAAAATCACAAAATGCGTAAGTTTTCTCCACACAATTGGTTGATAGAGTAGTAAAAATTTTATGCAAATACTACATGGATTCACTTGAGACAAAGGGATAAATGTTTAAATTGATAGTCTTACTAATTTCTATGAACTTATTATAAATGTTAGTCAACTTTCTTAATGGCTAGCTGGGAAATTGCTTTTGCGGGTTAACCCACGACCCAACCGCACTCATCCGCCACCCACCCACCCAACCCGACCCGCAGAAGAATGTGGGTGGCATGCGGGTCATAATTATTCTAACTCACTAGTAAGCGAGTAAGTCAATTTGAAACGAAAACCCACCCAACTCGCCCATTGCCCACCCCTTGCGAGAGGGAAAAATGCTATATCTTGATTTAAAAATATTATTAACTTTTTTTGTGAAATAATTAAAAATACTAATCCGTCTCGACGACCTGATGTGAGTAACTAGTCGGAAACTTGAAACAACAAATAGCGATGTGTGTGCTCACCCCGGCTGTATGTTAATGTCGTTAATGTTTCTGACGACATATATCTTAAATATGGCTAAATTGTCATTATAAAAAAATATGGTTATATCTTACGCAAATATCAAAAGTTTGATTAAGTAGACCAGCCGACGATCCAATGATGACAAAATTATAGTACATTTACAGGTCAAATTACAAAGAAGCATTTAGGGAAAGCCGTTGGTCGACCAACCGACGGTCCAACAATGAGAGGGCTTTTCTTGCCACGAGATAGACAGCCCGATTATACTTACGTAGTTATACTACACGAAGTGAAACGATGCACGCAAGAAAGATAAACGATGAACCTAAACCTCATAGAGTAGGCTTTCACCCAACGTGTGCGCCGAATCCTTCAAATTAACATGTAAACGATCACCTTTTTAACGTAATCATGTAAATATGTTTGTCTTCATTATTTTAACTACATACTTAAAATGATTTACTTGTAGCAATCAACTAATTAAACTATTCCCAAATAGGGAGAGGTTAGAGTGCTAACTTTATAGTAGTTAGCACCGTACTAACTACTCTAATCCTATTTTTTTTTAATTGAATGTGAAGGTGAATAGTTTATAAAGGGCTTGTTTGGTATTTCATATTTTCACTATATTAAAAATAATATATAAATAAAAATATAAAATCTATTTTTATCTCTCTATTTATTAGACATTTTCTACCGGAAAAATTACTAACAAACTCATTTGACTAATAGTAGTGATTGTAGGATGATAGTAGTGATTGTAGAATTTTTAATTAATAGCGACAGTTTTTTTTTAGGCTGGTAGTAGTGATTTTGGAGGGTCATAGTGATTTTTATGTAGCTAAGGCTAACTCCAATGGAGCCTTTATAAATGGGGAAGCCTCTATATTTGGGAGAAAGTTGGCTCCAATGGAGCCTCTATAAATGGAGGAGTCTCTATATTTGGGGGAGATCTCCAAAAGGATCCCCAAATTTGGGGGTGAAAATGGGGGTTCCCCAAATATAGAGACTCCACAAAGCCCGCCACGTGGTGTTTCTTTTTCTTTTTAAGATTTAAGAATTAATTGGGGTTTAATTAGGGGATTAGTTAGGGTTTTAATTAGATCAATAATTTTCAAGTGTTGTGTGTAAACCCAAATTAGGTCAATCATTTTTTGTCAACAAAAATTTTGTCTCAAAATTAAAAAACTTTCTACCAGAAAATTTGTATTTAAAAATGATGACGAACTATACAAAAATTAACATGAACAAATTATATTAAGGCTTCGATAAGTACATTTTTAAGTAAATGGAAAACTTAAAAAATGGAGATCTCCAAATATAGAGGATGTAGCATTGGAGCAAAAGAAGGAAAAATGGGGATGAACCCCAAATTTGGAGATGAAGATCCCTAAATTTGGGGGCTTGCATTGGAGTTGGTCCTAATAGTGTTTTAAATTCTTTGAATTTGTAACAAATGATTTTTTTTAATAAGAATCACTACCGCACATTATAAAATATACCAAGAACAGAGAAAATGACTACCACAGATAGTCAAATCACTACTAAAAGATGAATAGTCACTACTATACATGAGCAAAATGCTAATACTGAACAGAAACCACTACTATTAAAATCTATACATGCGTTCCCATTCCTTTCTCTCCTTCTCGTCCAGGGGTATATATCTTCCGAAATCACTACGTAAACCTACAATCCCCATTACAAAATCACTACTATAAACTACATTGACGGTAAGAGGCGCACTTGAGGTGAACGGAAGCGACGAAAAGGGTTGTGAGCGGTTGAAGAGACGATTGTGAATCTGGATCTGGAACAAAGAAGCGAGGCAAAGAGCCTAGATCTGGTGTCGGATCTGCTCAATAGTTATACCGATCCGCCATTCCCTCTGGTATACCTTTCTGCCTTTCACAGCAGTCTTGGCGGCGACTTCAATGCCGGCGGTTGATAGAGAGAGCCGACGAATCATGGGGGAGACTCCTCCATCACCATCGTCGCCACCTACCTCCTCTATCGGCATCTCGTGCTACCCTTCTTCCTCGTCGCCGCCTGCCTCCGTCGCATTTGCATGTCTCTGTGAGCGTCCCTTCCTTCCCATTGCTGCACCGTACGCACATGTGGATAAGATGTGAGAGAGGAGAGACGGTTGGTGTTGAAAGAGTGGAAAATGGAGAGGCGGCCGTGGGTGAGAGGGAATGTGAGAGGTGCTTTTTATATTAAGGTATAATATGATATTACTAAAATATCCTTCACTTAATAAAAGAACCTTTATTTAACCGAAAATAAATGGAAGCTCATCTATGAGATTAAGACAGTGCTAACGGGGTAAGGGGTTAGCATCCCATCTCATCCCATCCCTCCCAAATAGCATTAGATATATGATTAACTTTCACTGTCCTAACTCCTAACTATAGTGCGAGTCTAGCTAGGTTCATAGGATTCGGTGAGGCCTTCACAGTCGGCGGCCGCTATCCAGATAATAAAGTAATTCAATCACAAATGGAGATCGCTTAATTTTATAACATAAGATAAAAAGTCTAATTAAGCTTTGACTTGTGTAACAAAATGGAATGCTTCTGGACATAATCGTAATGTTTCAATGTTGTATTATATGTTATTGTCGTACTTTTAAAGAACCAATGACAAAATTATGGTTACCTTTGCCTTTTATGACCAAATCATATGTATCTTGGTCTTCAATTCGATATGATATAACTTAATACAAGATAATATTTTTACAAAAGCGGAAGTACTCTTGCGATAAAAGTAAAATCACCCTTTGACACTTGGTTAGCTATCAATGCAACAACAGACCTTGTTTTGCATCTAGATTTTTACTCCAAGCTAACTTTATGAATCTAGTGATTATTCTTAAATCATTTCTACGCTAGTAAGAGAACAGCAATGCGGTAGCTAAACTGACTCTAATTTGAAATTCATTGTCCTTAAGGTGGATGAAATATGTTGAGATTAGAAAGACTTAAACGACTAAAACGAGTACTAAATTTACTTGAGAAGCTAATCGAACCACATTCATTTATGCGATTAACGATGTTCTCAAGTTTTAACGACCGAATCCACACACATCAACCACTCATTAATTGTTTGTCCCTCTAGCTGATCACCAATTATGTGAACAATTAAGGTTAGAGGTGGCAATTTCAATCCAATCCACCAATCCAATTCATCAATCCATTAAAAACATCCACCTAATCCAATCCATTTAAATCCATTTGATCCAAATCCAATTGGATTGGTGGATTCATGGATTGGATCCATGGATCATTGGCAAATTACGGTTTAGTACCTATAATTTTTATTTTTTACATTTTGGTACCTAAAATTTAATTTTTTATACGAAAAATATCATTGGAAAATTACGTTTTGGTACCTAAAATTTTTCATTGTGACATTTTAGTACCTAAACTTTTTACATTTTACATATTGGTCCTTGGTTGAGGATGTCATTTGGATTCATGGATAATCCACCAATCCACTTGATCCAATCCATGAATCCACCAATCTATTAGATCCAATCCATTTGATCCATGGATCCACCAATCCAATCCACCAATCCACCAATCCAATACATTTGCCACCTCTAATTAAGGTGCATTATTTTGAAGAAAACAGAACATTAATGCCAAGAAGAGGTCCATAGCTGGAAGATAATGTCCTACGAATTAAGATGCCACCGACCTTCCAATTCTTTTATTGGGTGATCACTGATCACACGAAGCCCGAAGTGAATTAAACTATAACCTCATCTCTCAAGTAAATAACACGTATTCACATCACATGCTAGAGTTGACCTCCACAAATAAAAATTGATTACCAGTACTTACTTTAAGTAGAAATTAATCAATCAATCAATTCCTTAATTATATTAATTAAACGATCAATACATTCTGATTTCTGCCATAAATGATTATACACTAAAAAAAAACTAATCTAAAACGATGAAGAAATTATGTCCCCGTAAAAACTATCTTTCTTCAACGAGATGTGATCATGGTGGTGGTGATGATGAAGCGCCACAAGTCCATTCTGGAACTGAAACAACGGCTTGTTATCCACCGCCGACACGACGTCGTCGTCGAGGCAGTCCATGGGAGTCATCGGATCGTTTAAAAGTAGATGATCGGACGGCGGGGATTGCTGCGGCCCCACCATCTGGCTAATGCAGACGATCTCAGCCTGAGCGAGAGCAAGCTGCATTTGGAGCTGGGCGACTTGGTTCTGAAGGTAAGATATGGCGCCCACGCAGCCGTACACCGGGTCCCGCAGCCTCGCGTTCGCCTCGTAGACCAGGCTGTTCACGGCGTCGGCTCTCCTGTCCGCCGGCAGGTCCTGCCCATGGATCGGAGAGTAACGTTTTTTAGCTTAAGTTTCAATCAAGAAGTAAGTGGAGACGTGGTCGTTTCATTAATACGAAACATGGTGTACAGATTTGATACAATACTAAAGGAAGAAAGAAAGAAAGTGCGTACGTGGAGCATTTTGGCGACGTTGCTGGCGCCGAAGACCTTGTGGACGATGGCGAACTTGTGGGGGTCGGCGGGAGGGAAGTAAGGAGCGAAGATGCAGTCTCTGGCGCACCGCCGCCGGAGCAGCTTGCAAGAAGCGCAAGGTGAAGAAGAAGAAGAAGAAGTAGTTGTAGTTGTAGTTCCCACCATGTTTGTAAAGGAAGAGACAAAGAAAAGTTGGAGTGAAGGAGATGGAGATCTCTTTTAGTTGAGGCAAAAGGTTTAGGGGAGTGAGTTTATTTATAATTGGGAAAATGTGACATGTATTATTGAAGCACCCACACAAATTAAAGAAGAGTGTAATATTTTTAAAAATATAATTACCACGAATCTAGAATAGGCGGCAGTTCAAAAGAAAACTACTATAGCTAGCTAGCTAGGGGGCATTATTATTGAATTGTTGTTTTTCCCTATTGACCAAAATCATTGAATTATTGACATCCACACTGGCTATAGATACACAATTGCACAGTTCAATTTGGTGAGAACAATCGATTGCATTAGGAGATTTATTTTTATAAGAAAATACAACAAATGTCTTTTCAACCTATATTATTAGTTGATCTAGCTATGAAAGGGTACTTGGCTACTTGCCAAGTGGTATTATTATTCATATGAGCTTAATTTCCACAATTTATCACTGCAAGGAATTGTTTTGGTTGATAATAAGTTCGAATTGTCCATCTGTTGAATGTTTATTAGGTGGAGAGATTTCAAACATATACATCAAAATATTTCGTGATAAAATTGAAGGCAGATCATACCGTAAGAAATACAAAAAAAAAATTCATTTCACTTTTTTGTCCCGTTACAAAAACTCCAAGTATTTGTTTTTTCATGTGATTTTTTTTTAATGATATGTTCAAGTGATTTCACATATATGTTCACATATGATAAGTGATTAATCAATACAATTCAGCGTGTCTATTGCAAACTCATACAGCAGGAAGGTTCTAATGAAGCGTTGCCTCTACGTAATCAACGTTAACTAAAAATGAAAGTGGTACTAATAATTTCGGCTCTCCGGACCATTATTAGAATAGGAACTGGTTGTGTGCGGTGGCCGGTTGACTGTCGCCGGCGGGGGTGCGTAAACCGTGTGTGTGAGGTGTTGATCCCACGGCGTGTAATTGCAAGGTTCCCACGTTGCTTTGTTCTTTGTTGACTTGCTCGGTCTCCTCACCAACACACGACAAAGAAGTAATCATACAAGGATTGTTAATTATTCATGGCTTCAACTTCTATTAGCTTTTTCCTACCAAAAATAAAACTTCTATTAGGTTTTCAGTCAAGCCCAAAACACGAAATGTGGGAAAAGGAAGTCTTTTTTCTCTAAGTAGCATATTAATTAAATGGGTTTTAGATACCCCATAAATGTCAAGCTAGCTTATTACCAACATACAAATAGTAACAAATACCTTTCTCGACCTTTTGGTTGAGATCAAGTATAGTGTAAATATTAAATAGTAACAACGAAAAATCATGTTTCTAAATGATGATCACGTACGGTAGTCTGTTGCAAATGTTTATTTTGAAAATATGATCGAGCTAGACGTATTGTTATTTGTAGGTACATGCGTACATAAAGCGGAGTGTCTATGGTTTGCCTCATGGATGATATGACCAACAATTAAGGAATTGTTTATGGGTAGAATTACCAATCTGAATTTCAAATCTTAAGCAAATGTGTACAACAAGATCGTGTAAAATCCTCGTCAATCTAGCTTCAATAGCCAACTTCAAACATAAATTTCAAAAAGCTTTTTCATTTTTCATTAGTTTTAATTTACTCTCCTGTTTTTTCCTCAAAAATTTGTTATTCTTTTTATCCTTTTAGAATTGAATATTATATTTGTTCGTGCCCTGTAACTAAGCGCCCCGAACCTCCGTGTACGTCCGTCCTGGCACGCCCACACCTGCACGCAGCACGGCTAAACTGAGTCCTATGGAGGACTCGTTAGCACTCCAACGCTCAAGTCAGAACCCCTTTCTAGAGAGAGAAGTGAATAGTAATTTTAGAGAGAAGTTCCAACCTGAGTAAATGAGGTTCACCAACTCTCTATTTATACCTCGGGCCTGGCCGACCGACATCCCCGACTCCCGCCTGTCGCCTGACTCGTATTAAATGCGCCGTACAACCAGGTCTTATGCGCCTCGACCACCTGACACCGCGCTCAGTCCGTCGAGGCGCATGACGTCAAGTGGTCCTCCCTCCGTACCTTCCTTCCCGTTGCACCCTCTTGTCGTATGCGCCCAGTGTCAGAGCCCGGGCCCCACCTGGCCTGGTGCTCCTCTCTGACGAACGGGCCGACTCCCCCAATGCCCCTTTGGGCCTATTGGGCCGTACTCCACTATCTAGCCTAGCCTATCCAATCTTACTCTCTTGGGCCCCGCAAGCCTTTCCCTCTTGGGCCGAGGCCATGCCCCCAACAATTGCCCCCCCAGTCTGGCGCCTATGGCCTTTTTGTAGGCGCCTGACTGGACCTCTTGTGCGCCTTTCTCGCTCCTTATGCGCCTTGCCCCCGTGCGAATCACTCCCCACTTGTCGCTCCTGTGCGCCTCGCTTCTTGCCCGGTCATACTCCTTTCGGTTTCCCTCTCCCTTACCGTCATCATGGGGTTCTCGGGACTCCCCCCCCTTTGAGACCCTTGGACTTCCCTCTCACCCGTTTATGTGACCCTTGGTATCCTCCCACTCAGTGGGACTCTTGGGTTTCCCCTATTACTCCCCCCTAGTCCGTTTGGAAATTTGAATTTCGAATTTCAAACTTCGAAACGGACTAGCACACTCTCTTGACGCTCCCCTCTCACTATAAATACTCCCTCCCCCACTTGTCTGTCACTTTCACTCGCCTCCTTTTGCTCTGACCTCTCTCCTCTTCGCTCTGACCTCTCTCTTCTTTCTCTCACTAAGTCTTCGTCGAACTCCCCCCGCGCGTCCGCTATGTCGACCTCACAACAACCCGGATCGGAGCGCTCGGCGCCTGCTGCTGCAACTCCCTCTTCTTCCGGCGCTGCGCCTCACAGTAAGATCCCTCTCCCTCTCTTTTTTTTTCTTCTACATGGTTGTGCGCCCCCGATTTTCTTCTTGCGCCCCTCTTTCTTTCCGCTCGCTTCGATTATGATGCGTCTCGCGTGGCTTGCGCCTCCTCCGAATTTCCTGACCAAACTTTGCCCCCTTGCCCTAGGCCCTGACGCGTCGCAAAGCTATGCGTTTTGCTCGTGGGAGTCGACCTGGGCCTCGGGGCAGGCGCCTGGCAACCTGGCTAGTTTACCCTTGGAGTCGGTGGGCCCGAAGCATCCCTCCAAAACCGTACGCGTGCGCCTCGAAAAGCTGCTGGTGGCCGCGCAGATGTCGTCGTCTTGGCAGTACTGCCATGCGCCCCGTTCCGCACGGATAGGCGCATGTGGTGATCGCGGCTGGACGGGTGTTTACCAAGAATACCTCAGGTTTGGCCTGCGTTTTCCTCTGGACCCCGTTCTCGAAGGGGTCCTTGATGCGTGTCAGTGCCCCCTCAGGCGCCTCTCCCCCGCCGTTATTCTGTACTCGGTTCTCTTCCACCACAAATGCCGTCAATTGGGCATCACCCCCACCTTCAAACTCTTCAACCATTTTTTTTCTATGTCGAGGAGTAACAACTGTCTGATCCTTCATAAGCGTAAAAAATTAGGGTACAGCTTCATTAGAAGTTGTCAAAAGATGGGGCGCACGTGGTTCGACTCGTATTTCTTCGTGCGTCCCCGAGAGATCCCCTTCCTTGCTAGCGGGCGCCCCGCCATGATGGGGTGGTCACTAGGAACACCCCATTATTTTAACCAGTCGGCGCCTCTGGGCAAAACAGAGCTGGCCAATGCCAAGTGCCTCTCTGATGAGCCCTTCGATCTTCACGACGATGATGCTTACGTGCAGCTCCTGGCCGACTTTTATCAAGATGGTATCTCGGCTCGGACGCCTTGCTTTCTAGTGCTGTCATGCGCTCCTACCCGGTTTGCTGATGTTTGCCCTTGCCTATTTTTTTTTTGCAGGAACTGATTTTACTTCAGTGACGTCCATCATCCGATCCCGACTAGGGATTGGTCAGGATCCCGGGAGTCCCTCCCCTGCGACTGGCGCTTCCGGACCCTCCGCCTCTGAGCCTCCGAGGCGCACGATCCGGATTAAGCCGAAGGCCAAGGCTGCCCCCGCCGCCTCTGCGTCGGGCGCTTCGGGTGGGGCCTCTCCCGATCAGGGCTCGGGCACAGGCGCAGGCAGCCCCTCCGCCTCAGCTGGTGTTTCCGCTCGAGAGCTCACACGATCTCCCATCACCCCCGTCTCCGACTCCGCTCCACATGCAACAAGGGAGGAGGGTGCGCCTTCGTCGCCTCCCTCGCGAAAGAGATCTGGGGACGCCCAAGTCCGCCCCGCCAAGAAGGCGAAGGCGCCCCAGGTAGACACTGCCGGGTTGCCACCCAGCTTTGTGGCGCCTACGATCGGGCCTCATACTGGCCAGGTGATTCCGCCCTATCTCCAACCCCCGAGGCGCCCGCTCGCCAAGGTCGCGGTTGATGTGCCAGTGAGGGCGGCCAAGGACTTTGGTGCCTCCATTCAGTGGGCGCGCTCGCAGTACGATGTGGTGGAGCATCCCGCGGGCCTGATCTCCAACAAGCCCTGGCGCACGATGACCAACCTTACCGCGCAAGTAAGTACTAGTTTTACTTCGGCCACCTTTGCTTATGCCTCCATACTTTGTTATCCTATATATTTTTTTTCTAAAACTTTCCCTACGCCTCAGATGATGCTCCTTTGCGAGGCCACTACCCGCGAGGTCGAGAAGATCAGGCGCGAAGGCGCCGAGGCTGCCAAGGACGCTACGCGCCTCCAGTCGGACTTGGACGCTGCTGACAAGCAGCGGGCGGAGTTAACTTCTGCGTGCGACGAGGCGCGTAAGAACGCCTCTGATGCTGCCGCTCAGCTCGAGGAGAAGCTAGAGGCAGAACGTGCGAAGGTGCGCCTTGAGGAGCAGGCGCGGCACGCGGAGGCAGTGAAGGCGCTCCGCGAGAGGGAGGGTGCCCTGACTAGGGAGCGCGACGCCCTTCTCGAGGAGAGGAACGCCCTCCGCGAGTCAGTGCGCGACTTAGAGGAGTCCGGAAAGAAGGCCAGGAAGTCCGGCAGGCGCTACCACCGGGACCTAAAGAAGGTCCGAGTCGTGGCGGAGGGCTTGA